AATAAATCTCGGTAGACGAGTTCGACCATATGAATGTACGTGTCTAAAACGTCAGAAGGCACGGTACTTCTATCATCATCAGTAAATGTAACAAGCCCCTGATAGACGTGACTCACTGAAGCAATGATAGAATCAATCCCAGAATCAGGGTCGGGTTCTCCGGTAAGTTCTGCCATACTGCACAAAATTAACTTGACAAATCTCTCGTCTTATAATCATCTAATCACGTGAATGATAAAGCAATGAATAATCATGATGATGAAAACAATAATCAATCAGTCTTGATGTATAGTAAATAGTAAGCAAGACACTTTTGTGTAATGAGAATAACAGTCTGATGAATAAATGAGAACTTAAGCAAATTAATGAAATATAATAATAGTTAACAGTGATGACATTGACAAATGAATTATATCCTTCCAAATCCACCGTTATCCAGTACACCTTTTGTCATATTATCGCTAAACATACCATAATCACCTGCATACTTTGCTGGTAATGTTATTTCATTAATACAAGTGGACGCTCTCGGATACTTGTTAGTGTGAGAGAAGTTGACTGACCCCGCTGTGATTTCTTCATAACTATTGTGACTACTGCCTGTAAAGAACTGAAGAATGTGTCCTATATAGGTTCACAGTCCTACTTTCATCACAAACCAAACCTGAAGAAAATGCATGAAGAGGTCATGTGAATGGTACAACCAAGCATAAACAGTAAAACCACTATGCCCACCCTTTAGGTAGGTTTGTGGTTTTACTATGTTTACCTTTCTGAATATCTTCAAGGTAGTTCAAAAACATAGCTAAAGTACACTCTTCCTTTTGTCTCTCTTCTTCCTCCAAAGAATAAGTAACATCCATGGACACAATTTTGAATACAGTCTCTGTACAAATGCAGGCACAGCTAGTCAATGATCATGCATCAACACAATAATGCGCACTAACCTGCTGAAAGTTCTTTCTTTCTTAAAAAGAATGACTCAAATTCATCGGGACTTTTCCTAATTTCCTCTAGTACTTCTAAGGACTCCAGACCTGAACAGAACTGTTGTAACTCAGCAAGGCACTTCATTATTATAAAATTTAAGCATATCATTTTTCTTATATCGTCCTTTTCTTCGAGAGAAATGCTGCAATATGGTTTGGTCACACCGTTCTCAGACACAAGAGAAAAGTTTTCAGAGTACAACTGCCTGAAATCTTCAACATTGTCAGCTATTGACATCTATTTAGTAGGTCTAGCAATTACTTCTAATTGTATATAACGTACTTACTTTATTAAGAAAGTCTCTTACTAGAGTATCAGAAACCTCACTAACACTAACAGTCTCACTTATCTTGCTAATTGATGTGCCCGAAATGAATTTGTACGTACTTGGTGACACCACAAATGAAGATCCATCCAATCCTCCCTGCACAACGGACATGGCTACTAGCTGTCCTAGTCTGAAGTATACATTTTCCTGCAATATAAAATGTTACTATGCATATAATAATAATAATATCAGCATACATATAGAGCACATATGTTATGATTAAAGCACCCAACACTGTCAATATATTTAGGCTTCACTTCTTTTTCCAAAAGAGTGAACAGTTCTCTTCTAACACCCCTGGCATCAGTCCCTAATTCACCAGCAAATTTAACCTACACAATACAATGATTGTCATTCCTCATGCATAT